TACATGTGCATATGAAGCAGGCCCAAAATATACCAGTAAGATATAAACATTGTTGAGCAGAGTTTTGTGAACAGGGAGAGGGGAGGGGCTCAAAAGGAGGGGCTGGGAGTGGCAAACAAGGAATCACGACCTTGCGTACGCGCGCGTGCCGCCCTTGCGTGTACCTAAATGGCACCAACAAACTGAAGTTTAGAAAAGACCAGCCTGAAATCAACAAATAGAAATGTCCACAATGTGACTGACAAGTAAGTGTTGGGAGGCTGAACTTCAGGGAACTTATCATCATGGGTGCGGTGTCAATAACATACGATTGGCCAAGAGGAATTCGGCAATGCGGTACAAGGCTTGAAAGACGGAAAGCTGCAGCTAGGAAGTGAAGGCCACATGTGAGCTGCACAAGGCCATCTGTGGTCGGGCATTAAGAGAAAAAAAAATGGCAGTACCAGGGACTGGACGTGGGACCTTGCACTTGCCAGGCAGACCCTTATGCCGCTGAGCTATATCCCCTGCCCTAAAAATACATACATACATTGAGCAGAAGGCACTTGAGTTCTCCAAATCTCTTTTCTGGCAGACACTGAGCCTCTTTAAATCCTCCCCTCCCCCAGGAACAAAGAGGAGGATCAGCTCTCTTCACTGGAGGAGTCTCCACACCACACCCGGACGCACGCCAGCACAACTGCTCCATGTCCTGTCTGTCCTCCCAAGCGCTGAGCTGTCTTCCCCAAAGTGTTACTTTTCTGTAAGTGAGCTCCCCTACTAAGACAGTGAACTGGTGTGCAAAGCAGAGGGAAGGCACAAGGGCTTAGACCCTCCCATTCTCTGGGACGTGTGAGTTACAAAAAGCTGATCTCATAGAGCAGCGGGCCGGAGAGTGGTTATCAGTGTCTGCAGAGGGGCAGAGGGAGGGTGAAGGGACGCTTTGTGCTCCAATGTTCTAGAGCACAGAGCGGTAGACTGTGGTTAACAATGATTAACTGTACATTTCAACGTAATGACTAGAGGGCCAACCAGATACCTCATCAGAGTAAAGGGACACTTAGGCAAGGCGTGGGGACCTGGGTTCAATCCCCTGTGTGCCAGGCTGGCCCCACCCCCTGGGGCAACTGAGACTGGGCGTGGCGGCACATGCCTGTAATCCCAGCGCTTGGGAGGCTGAAAACAGGAGAATCATTACAAGTCTGATTTACATAGTAAGCCCTATAGACCCTGATGCTAAATACATTAAATAAATAGATAACGACTAGAAAGGATTTTGGACATTCCCAACCGGTCTGAGATGACTAGTATGCAAATTATCCTGATTTGATAATTAAAACATTGTCATCGTGTACATTATCTCAAGCTGCCAGGCTATACATAGAGACACTCAATTATTATACAGCAACTGGCCATAGCTTTGTCCCACCCCACGCCCACTTGCACGTGCCCTTTTCCCTACCTTGGACCTACCTCACCTAGTGATTTTGCTGTATAAAATCCCCAGAAAAGGCAGGGTCCTTGGCAACCTACTCGGGTTCCCTCCTGTCCCTCTTGTACACAACAGCAACGTTCCCCTCAATAAATGCATTCTGCCCTTAATTAACCTCAGTTGTTGCTGAAGTTCATGCTTCGATTTTAGAGAGCACAAACTTCTAACAGGGGGTTCTTCTCCTTACAGCAGTGTCAACACCTGGTGAATTATGTCTCGGTGTTTTGTTTCAAACCCTGCATGCCTCTGGAAGAGGGACACCTACCACTGTGGAGGGCGGCAGGGTGGCGAGACCAAGTCCGACTCCCAGTTACCAGGGAATGAAGAGAACGGAAGACTGTGTCTTCAGCCCTGTTCCAACAGACCAATCAACCAAATCTCCACTGCTGGAAATTACTGAGATGAACAACCAGGCTTTTTTCCACAGATAAATTAAAAATGGAGTTCACACTACATTTCAAATCTTGAACAAGATACTTTAAAAGTCTTTTTCTAAAAGAAAAAGAAAAAAGCACAACTAAGCTGTCGCAGTTACAGGTGTAATGTCTGTTATAGGCAAGGTATCTTCGTGACTATTGCAATGCTGGTGACTGGCGAGGAGGAGTCCGGCTTGGGAGAGAGACAGCACCCCATAGCCCATGCCCCAAGTCCCTCGTCCCTCCCACACGTTCTCAGCAAGTACAGAGCCAAAACAGACCCTGCAAGAGCAGCAGCCTCTGTGAAACGTCTCCCCACTTCTAAGTGCGCTCAGAACCTCACAAAGTGCTGTCTTAAGCAACGGCAGGTGGCAGAGTTTGCCAACATCAGCAGACCTGCAGGCAGCGCTCTGGGAACAAAGGCCTGAAGCAGCTGCTGGCGTCACTGGAGCCGCTGAACTGAATGCGAAGCTTGAAACGCGGCGAAGAAAGCCAGGTACTGAAAGACCTTAATACGTGAATTATAGGAAAAATGACATAAGTAAAACTGAAGAATTCACATATTTCTGCAAGCTTGCTGAGTGGGGCCCCCAGAAACCTGCTACAACTTGGTAGTGCGTGACAATCTTCCCAAGTCAGCTGCATGTGTTCCTGCAGTCCCGCTCTCCATCAGATTGCCTGGCTTCTGCTTTGGCTCTGGGATAAACATGAAACTCAGTTCTCTCGGACAACTTGCCCCTAGCTGAGATTGACACTACTAGCCAGTACGCCTCCGTCCTCACCGCTTGCCCCTCAGTGCAGTGGCGCCTGACCACGCCGAGCACAGAGCTCACTGTGCAGAGCATGGCTCTGCGACATGAGACAGAGCCAGGCTTACCCTGTCCCTGAAGTCCCCCTCACTTCACTGCCTCCGTAAGCATTCCGCAAGAACACCACGCTCTTCCTACTCTGGACAGCTGGGTTAGGCAGGCATGTCACAGGCAGCCGGGCAGGACAGGCAGGCCCTGAGGTCGGTGGGAAGATGGGGTCCCCGGCACGTGGGGCAGGCGCTCAGGGGAGGGCCAGGCCTCAAGAGCGAAGGTGAAACGAGGCCCCCACACGCCTCCCTATGGATGACTTGCGAAGCAGGTCTCCATCACCTTGGGCAGCCAGGAAGGCACCAAGCCAAGCCCTACGAGAGACCCTGCTCTTTTCTGGGACCTTCTCCAGGCAATCCTGTTCATCAATTTTACGTGAGCCATGACGCCTGCGAGCTCATTGGCTGACCACAGCTTTGTCCCACCTCCCGCCCCTGTCACTCCCCACAGGACCCAGCTGCTTAGTGGTTGATTAGTTTTTCCTACCTCAGACCCGACTCACCTCACCTAGTTTTGCTCAATAAAATTCCCGCAAAAGCTCAGCTAACACAGGCCAGTGGAGAAGCCTAAGGTAAGGTTAAGCGAAGAGCTGAGCGGCAGATGTTAAAGACAGAACAACAGCCTGCCCAGGTTAGGAACCCAACTAAGCAAGCAGCTAAACCCAGCTGGAGGCGTTCAGGTAACAGCAAGAACACAGCAGAGATGGGGCGCAGGGACAGAGCCTGACCCCCGCCTGTCCTTGGGTGTGGACAGCGTGTCCCCATCCTGCTCCCTGTCAGCAAGATGACCGGTGCAGAAAGCTCTCCCATGCGTCCCATTTCAAGTAAGCCCGGGATTGCTTATTAAGGCTCAAGGCCTGGAGAGTGAGACGGACTACTGATAGCGCCCCCGCTGGAACACTCTCCAGGAGCGCTTAGGGTTTCTTTTTATTTACTTTCTTACTATTGAATACAGGGCCTCACTACGCAGCTCAGATTCGTAATGATTCTCCTGTCTCAGCTCCCCAGTGCTGGGATTACAGGCCCGCACCACCATACCGGGTTTCGGGGCCAGCACGGCGCGCCAGAGGTTCCAGGGCCGACATGGGCTTATGATTTCTAATGAGCACTCTCCGAAATTCTTCCTCTGGTCCTCTAATTTATTGTTCAACTTCGGGGAACAACTCAGGCTTATAGAAAATTGTTTCATGAACTGACCTAATTTCATCTCTAGAACGTCAAATCTGTCCAGTTCTCTGCAGTCTTCCTGACTATAGGCTTCCAGAGCCCTTCTCCAGGCCCAGATGCCGCCTTCACTTTTCTTCCTACATCTTTGCAATGCTTTTTTTAGTTGGAGCAGGACAATGCCACCACCGCAAAAGCTGTGGTTCTAAAAGCAAGACAGGTTGGCGAGGAAGTGCACGCCTGTGATCCCAGCACTTGGGGGGCTGAGCCAGGAGGGTCACTGACAGTTTGAGGCCAGCCTGGGCTGCATAAATAAGCAAGTTCAGGGACAGCCTGCACTACATACTGAGGCCTCATCTCAAAAAAAAAAAAGCTAATTTTCACCTAAAAGCACATTGACATTATTTAAACCGCAACACAACCTTTGTTAGTGGCCGG